AACCCCTGAGGGTTAAAAAAATAAATAAAAGTTAATCCTCAGGGGTTAAAAAAAATTAGATCACAGTATAATACTGTGATCTCTATTTGATCGCTGTAGGCAGTGATCGACTGGCAGGGAAGGGGTTAATTTTTATTTGGACTAGGTAAAGTGTGTTTTTTTTGTTTTTTTTACTTAAATGTTATTAAAACATTTTTTTAAACTTAATTTTTAACTTTTTAAAGTTTCTTTTAAAACTTTTTTTAACGTTAACCCCTAGTTAGCCTAACGCCAAATCCCCCAATTCCCCACTAACTTCCACCCACCCCAGCTATCTAAATATATAATTAAAAATAATTTAATTAATTAATTTAATTAATTTAACCCCTGAGGGTTAAAAAAAAAAAGAATTAACCCTCAGGGGTTAAAAAAAAAAATCAGATCATAGTAAAATGTAATCCCTGCCAATTGATCACTGTAGTCAGTGATCAATTGGCAGGGAAGGGGTTAATTTTTTATTAAAATGGGTAAGGGGGGGGGACTTTAAATAAACTTTATTTTTTTTTACAGCAGGGGGCAGGATCAGCACTGATCCGGCTCCCTGCACTTCACACAGAACCCGGAAGTGCAGGGAGCCGGTAGGTGAGTATAGAGAGCACATGTGCTCGCTCAGACTTGTGGTCAGAGCGAGCACATGTGCTGGGCAGACTGACCGGGTGCTCCCGGTATGGCTCCAATGCAGAGGCATACCGGGAGCACCATTAACCCCGCGATCGCCGCGATAGCGGCGATCCGGGGTTCATTTTACCGCGTGACGGACGAGGTCCGTCACCCGTCGTTAAGGGTCTCCCCTGTGTGACGGACCTCGTCCGTCACCCGTCCTGAAGGGGTTAATTAAACACTATAGCCGCCAAAACAACTTTAGCTTGATGCAGCAGTTTTGCTGTATAGATCCTGTCGCTGTAGTTTCACTGCTCAATTCTCTGCAAACAAAGTCACTTTGTTTATGCAGCCCTAGTCACACCTCCCAACACATATGTAATGTGAGATCTAATTATTACACTTACTTTTTGCACAGTCTGTTTTATAATCTCATGTACTGTTTTTATAGTTTGTAAAGTTCTATTTCACAGCAGGTGATCAAAACCTCTAAGGCAATTTAACATCTGATTGACAATGAAACCATTTTTATGCATGCTGTGTGAGTCACAGCCAGGAAAGGTGTTGCTAGGGCTGAACAAACAGAAACAAAAGTTATTTGACTCCTAAATGGCAGAGAATTGAGCAGTAGGACTTCAGGGGCATAATCTATACACAAGAACTGCTTCATTAAGTTAAACTTGCTATATAAAAGCAATCAAGAGAAAGCAGCTTAGAGGGGCATTATAGTCACCAAAACAACTTTAGCTTAATTAACCTCTTCAGGACCGATGACAATTCATAACTGAAAACGAGAGATCACTCCCGCCGATATCCCACTGTTACTATCTGCCAGACAGATAGTAACAGCCAAATATGTTGTGTGAGCGACACGCGATTGCTCACAATTGGCTGCTGTCAAAGTCGGTGTTACAATCACTCACCTTGACAGTGATCCCTGCCCCTCGCCTCTCTCCTCTGTAACGTTTTGAGAAGGAGAGAGACATAGATCAGATCGTGATAGTTTGTTGAAGTGTTCCTTTTTATCCCTTTCCCTGCCAAATCCTGTTACAGCAGTGCATTTGTAGAGTCTGTAATTTATTTATTTTTTGCCCTAAAGCATTATTTTTTGTTAAAAAGCTGTGTATTAGGTTGTTTTAGTCTGTTTTAGTCTGTTTTCTGCAATCGGCAAATTTTAGTTAGTCAATTTCCTTTCCCCAAATCTCCAGTTAGATTCTTTTTGCAGGAGTTTGTTTAGAGATTGCTGCTAAAGGTGCATTTGATACCTACACATTTGTTCTTTAAAAAGTTTTAAAAATTACCTGACAGTAACATATAACTGGCTAGCCAAAATCTAAAAGCAATGTGTGCATTAAAAAAAAAAAAAAAAAGAATACAAAAATTACCACCACCAAATATATACTTTCAAACCATAAATTCAACTTGGGGGATGGAAAAAATGCACCACACTCAACATGTGTTTAGCAAAGCAATCAAACTATATTCAGCCAAAATGGGCAAGTCCAAAATTTGTTACTGTAAAATCGTGGCAAACCAATGCATTAGGGGCATTGGTGTACTCAGGGGACTTTGTAGAAAACAAACTGGGATGTTTTGGCAGTAACATATAACTAGCTGGCTAAAATCATAAAGCAGAATTAAAAAATAATCACCATGCACTTTCTCTGAAATTTTCTTAGCATAATGGTTGGGGGAATGATGTTAAAACACCCCATATACAGGGGTGGTGCCTGACCGCTGAACCGGGAGGACACAAAACCACAAAACAGAACTGCTCCTGCTCTTTCAGGCAATACTTGCCACATATAAGCCACAAACAGCTCTTAAACGACCCAAAAGGGTCACCAATCAAGAGGTGAACTCGCAGGGCACACACTGACACCAAGTATGCTGCCATCCCTGCAGAAATCACCGGTGCAACATTTGCGGCCTACAAGCTTGGTTGGCGTGGGGGAGACGGCCTCTCCCCGGCTGCACCCAAAAGCAAAAAGCTGGCTACTGGGCCCTCGTTTCCCCCCTTATGGACCTGCGGGGGTTTTCGTGGTCCCCAAAAAAACCCTACAGGCTCAAGGGAAGCATCCTCAAGTGGCGCTAGCCAAACCCAAAATGGCGACGGACGCCCCTTGGGGGTGACAGGAATTGGCTGATCTAGCACTAGAACACACATTCAGAACTTTAATCTGTATAAGGGGGCGGCAGACTGGGAATCAAGCTGTTGAAGCATAGTTCATTTTCTGTTGACCAGTTTATATTATAAGTTATCCACCTGATCTATCATATCGATTCAGGCCCTCTGTTTAGCACAATAGGGTGAAGTGCCTCATCACTTCCTAGATGCCTATAGCACTATAAGTATAGCACCTGGTTTAGCTATTAAGCATGTTACTAATCTACGTCAGTCATGTAAACGTATTTCTTGTAAACCAACACCTTGCTATTGTTACTCACACTCACTAATCTCCTGACTTAATCAGCATTACTCTTAATTTTTTTTAAATGTGCAGTTTAAGCCTATTTCACAGTACTGTCATCTTTAAATTGTCTCTAACCGCTATTGTGGCATTGCAGACATGTTTGTACCTCCTTTTGCACAACAAAAAAATAAAGAATTATAAAAAAAAAAAAAAAAACATATACAATACCCTAGCATGTCTACTTTATAAAAATATATACTTTCATGATGGTAACATTAACTGAGGGATGCAAAAATATGTCAAACTGAAAATAGGCCAAGCATACCTATATATCAAGTTGAAAAACTTACTTGCACAAGTCTCTATCTGTCACGAATTCATCCGCACATAAAAATGTGGTTAATAGCATTCACTGTCCTGACAGGAAAAGTTGTGCCGAGCAACATTACTGTCCTGACAGGAAAAGTTGTGCCGAGCAACATTACTGTCCTGACAGGAAAAGTTGTGCCGAGCAACATTACTGTCCTGACAGGAAAAGTTGTGCCGAGCAGCAATCAAATCCACAGGAGGGTTTGTGCTGAGCAGCCATTATGCAAATGGAAACCTGGTAATTGCCTTTGGGGTCAAAGGCCGGTTACAGCCAATCAGATCCACAAGAGGGGTATTTAGGCCCAGTTCTCCTCTTGCTCAGTGCCCTGTCATAGTTTCATGTGTATGGTTATCTGAGAGTGTGTTCCTGATCTTTATTTTCTGGAATTTTACTTTGGCTTTGTTTTGACTTCCCTGATTTCTGGTATCCTTGACTTTTGGATTTCCATAAGTCCTAGGTGTGACACAGTACTGCGTGCTGGATCAACTTGTAATCCTGACACTATTGTGGCCTTTTAGCCCCCAAATAACCCTATGCATGGGTGGTATCACTGTACTCAGGAGATGCTGCTGAACACATATTGGGGTGTTGTTCAGCAGTGACACATAACAGGATCTGTTAATTCATGCCTAAAGTACAATATATGTGAAATAAACACACAGAAAATTACTACCCAAATGTTTGACAAAGGATGTTGGTAAATTCAGTGCATGAAAAGTGTTAAATTACCACCAGTTGAATAACCCTGGGTTGTCTACTTTTCAAAAATATATTATTATTATTATTATTGCCATTTATATAGCGCCAACAGATTCCGTAGCGCTTTACAATATTATGAGAGGGGGATTTTACTGGTTTGATGGGGGTAAAATACATTAGCCGGCTTCAAAAATGTCCCAAACAGGACATGGGCGCAGGTTGACTACATGTCAAAATTCCAAGTTGGAAAACGTATATGGGCACCTGCCAAATGTGGCCTTTTAGCCCCCAAACAACCCAACAAACTTATGCATGGGTGGTATCACTGTACTCAGGAGATGTTGCAACATATAACAGGATCTGTGAATCTATACCTGAATTGCAATGTATGTGAAAAAAATGAAACAATGAAATTACCTATGCGAAGTTTGGCAAAGATTGGTGGTAAAATGGCTGCATAGAAAGTGTCAAAATATCATAGATGAATACTCTGGGTTGTCTACTTTAAAAAAATATGTACATGTGGGGTATGATTCAGAGATTTGACAGATGACAGTGTTACAATGTAACTATTGATACATTTTAAAAATATATATTTTGAAACCACAATGTCCTACTTGTACTTATAGCCCTATAACTTGCAAAAAAGCAAGTAAATACTGGATGCTTTTAAACTCAGGACAACACTTTGAATCTATTTAGCATTTTTTTTCATTAGCTTTTGTAGATGAGTAAAATATTTTTCAAGTAAAAGTCAAAAAAACATGATTTTTTTTCTCCTCCCTTTTTTTTTTAACCATATTTTATTATTTTTGAAGTAAATTATATGACATGATACAAATAAAGGTATGTAAGGAAAAATATATATATATAATTTGTATGGGAACAGTAAATGAGAGAGAGGAAAATTACAGCTAAACACAAACACCACAAAAGTGTTAAAACAGCCCTGGTCCTTAACGTACAACATGGTCAAAACAGTCCGGTCCTTAAGGGGTTAATCAGTTTTGTTATATAGATTATGCCTCTGCAGTCTCTCCATTCTCTGCAATCTACGAATTGAATCACTTTGTTTGTGTCCCTTTAATTATATTCCCATTATATTGATTGACACATATGGTGTCAACTGACCTGTTATTGGAGTTTACCCTTTAAATCTACATAATTTGGATCTGTGTGGTCAACAAACACCATTAAAGTGCAATAAGCTGTTGCTTTAATCAGACTTTTTATCTATAATTATTTGTTATATGTATTATGCAGCAACATATTACATCATTATGTTCTAAATAGCTGGCAAACACAATATACAAGTAAAGTATGTAAAATCTATGCAAAATAGCAATAGTTATTTAAATAGTGCCTACTTTCTGCCAATACTGTAATGTTACATTAATACGTTGCTTACTTTCTCCATTGCAGAAAACAAGAGGTATTTGTTTTCATTGCTACACAGGATCACTATTGTGTGCAATATTAGCACATCATTACAAATGTCAACCACTAGAGGGCACTTGTAAAAGATGTAGTAGCTACTCCATCAGTGAAAGTGCCGTTTGTATGTGAAAAATGCAAAAAAAACGTTTCTTTCACTGACAATATCATCGCTGTGATATGTTTTACTGTTTTGAAACACTAATATTTGTGTTCAGCGAAGTCTCCAGAGTAAAACAGTACCTGCCATGTACAGGTTTTAGGGTGTCATGGAAGGTTACAGGGTTAAATACAGAGCCAGCAAATTTAAATTCTCTGGACCTTCGCCTGGGTTGTCAGACAGGTCCCTCAAATTGCAATCAATAAAATTACTTAATTATGTAAACATATTACTTAAATATGCACGTAGAATTTAATATATATACATATTTATATATTTAAAGTCTACGTGTATATTTATGAAATTATTTATGTAATTATGTATATGAATATATATATATGTGTATATGTATGTATATATATGTGTATATATATATATGTATATGTATATAATTTCATTTTAAGTGTATTTTAATATAAATATTAATATTAAAATACAGTTAGAATAAAATTATATATATTTAAAAAATATATATTTTATTTTTTTAATTTCTTTTTTATTAATTATTATTTATTATAATAATATACATACAATATATAGTTCTTATATATATTATATGTATACCTGTGCAATTTTAATCTAAGTGTATTTTTATATTACTATATGTGGATAGATAGATAAATATATAGATATATGTTTTTATTTATTTTTTATTTATTGACATTTTTATTTTACTTTTATTTTACTTTTCCACCAGCAGGGGGACTGCCCATGGGGTCATAATTTGCCGAGAGGAGACTGTCTGGGCTGTCCCCAAGACGGAGAGGGACACCCCTGCCGGTGATTGGGTAAGTAAGTAGGAATACCGCGAACGGGGGTGATCTCTAGGGTGACAGAGGGTATTGTCACTGAAATGAAAAAAATCTCAGCAGTAACTCGGATCTGGCTCTAGGCATAGTTTGGGAGAATACTGGACTAGACATTATTGGGTTGGTGCTCCAGTATGAGCGAATCGATGGCTTCTTTATAATCCCCATGAGCATTGTAAGAGCCCAGAATTTTTTAAGCTCTGGGACATCTGTGGGATGCCAGTCAGACTGTATAGCTACCTGGATTGTTATCAATAAATTGTACCTAGTCGGACGCACCTAGTAAGTACCTAGAAGGGGTTAATTGGACAATATAAAATCACTTTTTTTGTATAGCAGACCATTTTACTGTTACTAAAATATTAACATGGTTTTTCACAAAAGTGAATGAATTTCAAATTTAAGACCAAAGTAGCAGAACTAAAAACATGCTCGTTCGGCTAGATGCCCTTTAAATTTGAAATTCCCTTTGAAATCACTTTGGCAGTTGAACTTTATGCGCTTTAGTCTTTTTTTCAACTTAGACAATTATGTTAATTCTCACTTTAGTGAATAACCTTGGCACTATCTCGAATCAACAACAAAAACTGTGAAAAGGTTAAGAAACAGCCTTTTTGGTTTCTTGCTCACCATTAAAGAATTAACTTGGCAACAGGTTTTAAGCTCATTTCCTGCATTGCAAAGATGGTCCGGAAGCAGGAGTCAAATAAGTCGGAAATGAGTTTATAAACTTACTTCCAGATGGTGTCTGGGAAAGTTAATAAATCCCTTTATTGCATAACATGTTTTCTATCTCTTCTATCCAATACTAACAAGTGGAAAAATATTTATCTTACTAATCTATTGTGTTCCTCAACTTGTGTGATGAATGAACAGCAGGCCACTTAAGATATTACGATGTGTGAAAAACAGAAAACAAAGCTAAATACATTTGTATTTTGTATTTTCCAATTTTAACAGGTTTTTTTTTTTTACTAAAGTGAGAATTGCCAGGAATTCAAAGTGAATTTCAAAATTTAAGTCAAAATTCTTCAAGTCCATTCTGTTTAGAGTTTGACTATATTGGCCTTAAATTTGAAATTCACTTAGAATTTTCCTCCATTCTCCTTTTAGAACCCTGTATGGCTTGTTATGTGACGTGCAACACAGCTGTTCATGTAGTAGGCATTAAAGGGACAGTCCACTGGCCAAATACAAAATAAATAAAAATCACTGTTTAGTAGATATACCACAAATGAACGCATTTAATTATGCATTTTTTCATTATATCTAAAAACAGCTTGCAAAACATGCGGTTCTATTGTATGTTACCTTTGCAAGTTCTCCTCTTCTAACCCAGCCCAGACTTTCTTTGACTGTCCAATCACAGACTTCCCAATGCAGCTCACTGAGAAGTCATTGCAAGGCAGGTGCTCTGGGGAATTGCTGCAAGTTGAGTTCAGTACAAATAAGCTAACCAAAGCAGGAAGTAACAGGACCTACTATCTGCTTGAAAAGCCAGGGGGGTGTAACTAGTATAATTTATAAAAAGTGTACATTTCTATTGAAATCTGTACTATTTCCAAAATGAAAATATAGGAGACACTCTACACACAAAGCTTTTCAGCAAGCTAAAGTGCTTTAGGGGTTTGGAGTGTTCCTTTAATATATAGTGCTTGAAGAATGTTTTTCACAGCTAGCCATGATTTATAACAAATATTCTTTATCTGGAAAAGGTGGCAAGTTATACAGATTAAATGAACCCTCCAAGTACCATAACTACCACAGCATCTGATATGTAAAAGGCTACAAGGTCTAAACACGCTGCATACTATAGTGTAATAAAAATAAATTCTACCAGCATGAGCAAAGTTTGAGACATATCAGACTAGAAAAGGTTACGCCTCTAAGGGACCAAGACTCAAGTGAACCACGGTGTGAACTTCATACTAACAGTCAAGCATGGTGCTGGTAGTGTAATTGTGTGGGTATACATTGCAACCTCCAGTCTTACTATTATTGAAGGAGCCTTAAATTCTGCTCTCTACCTGAACATTTTGATGAGAATGTATGGTCATAAGTCTGTGATATAAAATAGAAATGCATTTTGGTAATGCAAAGGGGAAATAATCCAAAACACAAGAGAACATCCACCTCAGAATGGCATAAAATGAACAAAATGAAGGTTTTAGAATAAAATAGTCAAAAGTCCTACGTGAAAACCAATTAAGATGCTGTAGTAGGGCCTTAAACAAGCAGTTCATTCTTAAAAACCTTCAGACTGCATCCTTGCTGCAAAGTAGACTAAGTCAAAATTCCTCCGCAGTGATGTTAGTAATTTTTCTAGGGAACCAAGATGGAGGCACTGAGTTGTTTTTTGATAAAGCTAAATATCAAAGTGATATTAACATTCTGGCAAGTGACTTTTTCATTTGAAAAATGTGTTGTTTTTTTGCTTTTTTATAAAATATTAAATAAAAAAAAATAATAAGTTGCATACCCATAACAATAGGAAATTGGAATAAGAATTCACCAAAACACTACGCGATTTCGCGACACGCCCTGGAATACGAAAGGCAGCTAGGACCCCACTAACCAGTTATGAGAAACTGTGTATCACAGAATCAACCCGTAAGAGCCTGATCACCACATTATATGCACAACTTAACGCCCCGGAGAGAGACGCAGCACCCCTTAATTATGTCATCCAATGGGAACAGGATCTCCATGAGACACTGGAAGGGGAGGACTGGAGGGACATATGGGAAGCAGCAGCGAAGGTGTCCGTGTGTGTAACACTTCAGGAACAGGCATACAAAACCCTCCTGAGGTGGTACACCACACCAGCCAAATTATTTAAAATGGGGAAAACCACCACACACATGCTGGAGGGGCTGCGGAGAGCGGGGATCATACGTCCACATGTGGTGGACGTGTCCCAAAGTGGCCAGATACTGGTCGGACATAGAGAAGCTGATGACGACGATACTAGCACGACCAATACACAAAGACCCTTGGACTTACCTGCTAGCTAAACCACAAGATGACTTGACGGCAACAGAACAGAAACTAGTTAATAAAATTACCTTAGCGGCCAGAAGGGCGCTGACCCAACAATGTCTCAGCCCGGACGCCCCCTCTATACACAGAGTAATTCACAAAATAAAAGACAACTGCCTAATGGACAAATTGACAGCGCAGATTCGGAATACCATGGGCACCTTCTCAAAAGTGTGGCAACCATGGGAGGCCTATGTGGACAGAATGGCACAGACGCCATGAGACACACCAGCAGGGCTGGGTGACGCATTGCCTCGCGTGTGCGGTGGGCGTCTCCGGTGTGGCCCCGACCCCCCCTTACCACCCCCACCGCCCCATTTACCTTACAAACAAGTTCAGTATGGAGCTATAATTTCAACAGCTGAAAGTAAGACACACTTTTCTCTGAATCGCGGGCATTTCATGGGCAAGGGAAGTCCCCGCCAATACGGGAATAGCAAGGCCCCACAGCAGTAGAAAAACGTATATATACCGTATATAACGAGGTATAGGCTCGTCTGAGAAGGCCCTTTAACAGACCCGCACAGAAAGCGTATGGTTAACATACATATTGACAAGTAATCAACTGCGGTATAGACCCAGACATACCGGGTCATCGTGAAAATGGGCAAAATCAGAGGAGTGTAGTGATTGATAATTGTAGTGCTTGATAATTCCATATGATGCGATATGTTACCGAAATGATATATGGGTATTTTGATACCATTGTATTGTAAAGATGACACGATACATGTATGATATGTGAAGCTCCATGCCTGAATTCAAAAATAAAGAATTTAAAAAGAATTCACCAAAACAAGACCTAAACATTATGATTATTTATTTATAACTATATAAAAGAGAGGGTTTTTTCCATGTTATTTTCTTCAAATAAATTTACAAAATGCACTTTTAAAATGTTCTCAAATATTAAAAAATTTTTTACCCACATTCTCTGAATATTATTTATGAACGTTCTATGTTACATTTAGCTGACAGGGCACGTTTATTGGACATTTAGGCAATATATATTGCAAATAAAATAAAAATGCAATACAGTTTATTATTTTATCCTTTCAACATATTTCTAACACACCGTATCATAGAAAGTGAAACCAAAAGCCATTCCAGCAGAATATAATGTCCGTTAATAAAATATTATTATTTGAAATGAATACCACTGCTTTGCAGAAAGAATAGAAACCACAACAAAGAAACAAAATACCCCTATAGTATCTCCATTACTCTTTAGAATACTTTTTTTATTTTTTATTATTACACTGGTGGGCAACGGATGCAATATGTTATCTTCAGTTATCTGTTCTTAAGCATAAAAATAAACATAAAGTGGATTTCTAGGGAATGTTGCTGCAAGCAGGAATTACACTTTTCCAGAAAGCTTAGCACTGGGTGGGTTTATGCTATCTGGCTGCATGCAATGATATGGTGATGTTTGTTTTCTGGCTCTCAATATGCCCACACCTTGACATCATTTGAAAAACACGACCACTCTGTATTTTGCTAAAATTGTGGTGCAACCCCTTTTGAGTAGACAAGTACAGAAAGCTACATGGGAAAGATACATGGGCCATTAATTTTATATGCAACTATTATGAATGCAAATATATCAATTATATTAAGCTATTACTGATCCACTAATTCTTATAAATATAGGAGTGCCAAATGATTGCGTGTTTATGTTTACAATAAAATACCTAGAGGGGATTTTTTATCTATTTATGTCATCGTGTAGTTCCATCAAAACATTCACAATGCCAGCAAATCATGGCACAGGATATTTAACCCCTTAGAGTCAATGATGGTTGTGGTCCAATCCAATGGTTGGGGAACATAGGCGCATGTGTGGCACTTTATGTGATCTGCCAATCAAAATCCATTGACTGCATGACAAGCAGTGAATGGCACTGTGCATGCACACTTTACATCACAGTACGCCTTGGTATGGGAGCCAGGAAGACACAGTCGAGGCTCTCCTATCAAGAAGTCTTGGAGGTGTGACTTGAACTATTACAATATACAGTACTGGAAGCTAAAACATGGTGGGAATCACTTTAAGGGATACTATAGTGCCAGGAATATAAAGCTGTATTCCTGGGACTAAAGCTTCCTCTGCATTCCCCCTCAAGCCACCCACGCCACAGTCTTAAAAAACTTTTATTTACTTACCTGATCCCAGTTCTGATGTCCCTCGGCACTGGGTTGCAGCTCCGCCTCCTCTGACGTCCCTTGATGAGCAGGTGCTAAAGCACATACGCGGCAGGTGCCGCATGTGCATTAGGCCTCCCCATAGGAAAGCATTGAATCAATGCTTTCCTGTGGGGAAATAACTTGGGCTGGATGTCCTCATGAAGAGCGTGACACCATTTAGGGTCAGTTAGGGGACCAAATGTCCGTTAACATACAGTAAACACCTCCAGTGACTGTCTGGAAGACACCCACTGGAGACAGACTTAGTGCCGCAATGTAAACATTGCAATTTCCCTGAAAGTGCAATATAGATACTGTACCGAGACCACTTCAATGAGATTTAAGGCACTATAACAAAAGTGATAAGATGAATAGACAGTAAACCAACAGTAAGACCACACCTTAAATATGTGGTGCAATTTTGGGCACAAGTTTTAAAGAATGATATTGTGAAACTAGAAAAAGTGCAGAGTCAAGCAAAAATTAGGAGGGGGGATGGAAATCATTAGTTACGAAGAAAGGGTAAAAAAAACCTTAATTTGTTTTCTTTAAAAAAAAACGCCTCTGAGGGGATATGATAGCACTATACAAATACAAACAGGGCCAGTACAAACCGTTATGTGCTAACCTTTTCATTATCAGGAATTTACAAAAGACAAGCGGTCACCCATTGAGCCTAAAAGAAACGTGTTGTCGCTTACAGCAGAGGAGAAAGATGTGGAATTCTCTACCTAAAGTAGTTGCCTTATTAGAGTCTATAGGTATTTTAAAAAAAGGCTTGGATGTTTTTTTGCAAAAAACAGAATTTTCAAGGATATAATAGATATAGATGTGAACAGGTCATTGATCCAAGGATAAATCTGATTGCCCATTATGGTGAAGAATAATTTTTATGGCATAATTGCAAATGCTATAACTGTTTTTTTTTTTTTTTTTTGGCCTACTTTTGTATCAACAGCATAAAAAAAATGGGAGAGCAAAAAAACAGGGTACAAGAGAATACTGAGAACAGACAACAGCCAGAGTGGCTTGCCCTTCACTGGGTCCCCGCTCAGATCTCAAGCAAGCTTTAGCTCATCTTGTCCTATTACAAAAAGAACCTAGGTCATTTGCATGTTAGAATGATCCCACCTAAAAGGGCAGTGCATAATTTTTATGTGTAGGGGCTGTATGAACTTTGTGAAGTGGGTGCAGGGTTTTTATGTGTATGGGGTACGGGATTTTTATGTGTAGGGTGGGTGTATGAATTTAATGTGTAGGGGGTGCAGAAATTTTATGTGTAAGGGCTGTATGAACTGTGTGAAGTGGGTGCAGGGGTTTTATGTGCAATAAATATTCTTGAAAACCTTGAAAAAAGTTTGTGGGTGTTTTTTTCCCTTTTTAAGGGGGTGGGGAGGTGGGGGGTGGTGGGTTACCAAACACAAGGTCCTCCCCTGTTGCCAAATGCTCTAGGTACGCCCCTGGGTGGTTATTTTGCTGTAATGACACAATATGAGCTAAAACCAGCGATGTGAGCGGGAAGCCACCAAAGGGCAAGCTACTTGAATTGTTGTCTATTCCCAGTATTCTTTTGCACCCTTTTTGTTTGCATAAATGAATGGGTTTCAAGGTTGAACTTGATGGAC